CTGGGAACAAGAGAGTAGACCAGTCTGAGAGGTTCTGGGATTAAGAGACTGAAAAATTGCTTGGAAGAGAGAATAAGATCAACAGATATTGTTTTGAGGTAGGGAAATCTTGAACACATTTGCAAGCAGGAGGCAGGACCCCTGTGGCAGTGAGGGCACCATCGTGAGAGTGCAGATTTACAAAGCATGGACGGGATGGGATGATGAGCACTGTCTAAGGTCAGAAATAGGTTCCTTGGAAAGAAGATAAGGCAGAGGAATCTGGGGTGAAGAAAGAATGAGCTGATGGTGGATAATCTTAATTTCCTTAGCACTGCAGAAGCCAAGATGGACTGGTGTAGGAAAGGAGCCAGGAAGAGTAGCTTAGATGTGATTCCCAGGAACCAGGGTAAGGTGACAAGGGTCTGAATTAGAATCATTGGCATGGACATGGAGAAATAGAGACATTGATGTGAGTGCTTATCAAAGAGAGAACCCAGAAAACCTAGGGGATCATTAGCTATAGGAGAGGACAAATAAAAAATCAATCAAGTTTCAAGTTAGAATGAATGGAAGAATTAATGTAGTTTGGAAAGTACTAAGAAATGGATAAACAGGCATTGGGATCAATCAAATGAAAATGCACAGACATAAAAATATTTGCTTCTTAAAAACTAGGGGGTGGGGGCGCCTGGGTGGCTCAGTGGGTTAAAGCCTCTGCCTTCAGCTCGGGTCATGATCCCAGGGATCTGGGATCGAGCCCCGCATCGGGCTCCCTGCTCAGCAGGGAACCTGCTTCCACCTCTCTCTCTCTGCCTGCCTCTCTGCCTACTTGTGATCTCTGTCTGTCAAATAAATAAATAAAATCTTTTAAAAAAAACTAGGGGGTGGGGGAACAAAGAGAAAGGCAAGGGCCTGCCTTGGACCGGCCGAAAAGTGGCACCTTGTTCTACATTAACAGTAAATAAGTACAATATGAAAGTGTTAAAAAAAGTGAAAATGATTTTTAAACAAATCAGAAAGCTTTAATAAGTTGGCAAACTGAGAATTAAAGCAATCTTGAACACTTTAACAAGCTGGAGACATGGAAAGGAAAAAATAAGCTATTAATGAGGAAATAAATTCTGGTTAAAAACATGTTTTAGTCTTCATTTGGGCCAATTTGGAAAGCTTTCTTTGGACCTTAGATATATTGAGGACAAATGTGTACATTCTTCCGTTTGCAGTTTATTAAGAATAAAAACTGTAATTAAGCACATCTACTTTCCAATGCAAATCCAGAAAAGGATTTAAGAACATGGATACCAGTATGGACCCTGTACAAACAGGAATAGAGCCACGTGTCATGAAGGATACGTGATACTTTATTGATACTCCCAAACTTAAAACAAAATGAAGCACAGCAGTTTACACAGGACTTGGATACAGAAAGCCCAAAATCGAAGTATAAAGAAAAATATTTCCCATAAATTATTTGCATTGCATAGTATGTGTCTGACTCTTTTTTTTTTTTTTATGCATTGCATAGTATGAATGGGGTTTTATGAATCAATGGGAAGTGATTGTTTTTTTTGTTGTTTGTTTTGTTTTGTTTTGTTTTTAGAATCAGAGATTTTACACCGGTTGCCAATATAGAATCCAATGGATTACAATGATATCAGTTGCTGTTTCTGTAGCAAGCCAAGGGTGTTCAGATTCCAATGATTTTTTAAAAAAGGTACTCCTGAAGAAAAACTTCAGCATATTAGTCTTCCAGTTTTTAAGTGATCCTTCCCTATAGCTACCATTCCTTATTCTAACCTACTGGTTTCGTTGAAATTCTAAAACAGACTGAAACAAACCAAAAAAACAACCTACCATCATGTAGGGGTAGACTTCTCCAAATCTGCTTCTAATTACATTGATTTAGACTCCTGGTGGATTTATTTGGGTGTTTATAATGTGAACAGTAGTTCCAGAACTTTTAAATAAGGACTACTATTTTTTTTTCTCAGGTTCCAGCAAGACTTTAAATGTCAGTTCTTTATTAACAGTATTAACTAGGAAGAAGGGAACCATGTGTAAATGAAATCCACAAGTACACCAAGTGCTGTTTTTTCAGGCATCACCACTGAATTCTTCCCTTTTACTTATGTCCTAAGAGTCTACTATTTCTGTCAAGGATACCTTGCTTGTCCCAATCGTTCAGGTTTGAAAATCTATAAGCATCTCGATATACTATTATTGAATATTTTAAGAAAACTTTATTCTAAGCAGAATTATGATTTTGACTAGTGTGATTGGATGGGCATGACTCCATCAATTTGATGAGAACAGCAAAACCAGGGTAAGTGAGCAAGGGGGTGAGGGAGAGGTGCATGCCTGTTTGAGTAGCTTGGGTCTTCTAATCAACTGCCTTGTTAATATCCTAGCTTTACCAGATCATCTGCTCCTCTCCTTCTCCCTATTATCTCCTTATGCTATCAAACTACAACAACATCTCTCAATTAGAATAAGTGTCAGGTAAATGCTTTCATGAAGGGGTAGGACCAAGTGAAATTGAAGGAAAAGTTTGAGGATGGGAAGAAATCCTGTCCAAAGCTTTCTCTATGAATTTGTTCATCACCAAGCTTCATGAATTTATCAAGAAAGTTAGTATTAAGATCAGCTGCATTTTGCTGCAAGAGCACCAAATTTTCTTTCTTCCTTCCCACTCCCCTTTGGTCTTTTCAAATTAGAGACTAAAGAAAATGAAAAGGAATAAGAAAGCAATCCATAAATGTTTTCTCAGCCCTGGCATTCTGGACCAATCCAGTAAAGTTGGAATTATCACAAAACAACATGTTCTTTTGAGTCCATTTTCCAAACAAAATAAGTTATGGACTTAGTGGTGGGTGATAAAGGAACATTTCAGATACTTTGAAACATCTCAAGCTTATTTTTCAAAAAAAAAAAAAATTGGTTTTGGCAATATCTTCTACATGGCTTTTTCCAATAATTTCTTCCTTCAGAACTATGAACATGTGAAGGAAAATCTATTACTGTTCTTAGTCTAGATTTCCTAATCAAAGTCATATGAAAGGTACTCTTGAGAAGTTACAAACATTTTTAAAGAAGGTCCTTCTTTCTAATTCAATTTAGACAAAAATAAAATACCACACAAGAGAGACCAAGCCAAAAAATGTATGAGAAAGTTCTCAGTATTGTCAGTACAAGAGAAGTGTGTATTAAAACTCCCACAAGACGCTGCTATGCTAGAACAGTAAAAATGCAAAATGCTCACAGCATGGAATGCTGGTGAGGATGGGTAACAGTCTGAACTCTCATAATGCCTATGGGAGTGTAAATGGAAGTCAGGCAAAAAGACAAAATTAAGTATACATTTGCCCTGTGACCCAGTCATTCCATTCCATTCCTAGGTATTTATCTAAGAGATATTAAAAGCTATATCCACAATATCTTATACAAAAATGTTTATAAAGTCTAAATTCATAATAACCCCCCAAATAGACACAATTAGGTGTCCACTGACAAGAGAGTAGATAATAAATTCTGGAATATTCACATAATGGAATACTACTCAAGAATTAAAAAAGGAATGAACTCTTAATATCTGCAATGTCATAAATAGAAACTCAATGCAAACACATGGACACATAAAAACTAACACACTATAGGATTCGATTTACATGTAATCATAGATTAGGCAGCCTAATCTACAGGGATGGAACTCAAATCAATGGTTGCTTCTCGAAGAAGGCTCTGTCTGGAGGGATGACAGTGTTCTATTTCCTGTTGGAGCACAGGATACAAAATTATGCATCTTTTTTTTTTTTTGTAACTGATCAAGCTGGGCATTGTACTGGATTTCAATTATACCTCAACAATATATTTTTTATTTAGAAAGGAAATAAAACTTTAACAATTTAAAAATCACCTTGAGTCTTTTTAAAATTGAAAGAAAAAGTTAATGAAATGCCTTGGTTGAAGCTTGAGAATTTGGAATGCTTGTCAGATGCAGTTTTGAATTCTAAAGATAACATAAGGGCACCTGGGTGGCTCAGTGGGTTAAGCCTCTGCCTTCAGCTCAGGTCATGATCTTAGGGTCCTGGGATCGAGCCCCGCATCAGGCTCTCTGCTCAGCGAGGAGCCTGCTTCTCCCTCTCTCTCTGCCTGCCTGTCTGCCTACTTGTGATCTCTGTCAAATAAATAAATAAACCTTAAAAAATATATATAACATAGTAGACATTTATGATAAACAACCACTTTATTTCCCAGCTTCAGCATGTTGTACACTGCCCAGCTCATAGACCATGCCGAATATATGCCCTGGGTGGATGAATGGCCATCATTTAAAAATATACTTAGATTTTTCCTTTTTTGTCCTACAAACCTGTACTTTTCCTCTGTCTGCATCTCATCCTGTGTGTATCTTTCCAGGTTTCTAAACCAGTGATTCTTAAACTTCTGGGCATCAGGACCTTCCAGAGGGCTTGTGAAGCCACAGATTCTTGGGTCTCACCTTCAGAGTTTCTCCTGCACTAGATCAGGAGAGGCTTTGAGAAATGAACCCAACTGATTTTGATGCTGCTTGCTTTGGGGCCACCCTTTGAGGACTACTGCTTCTAGCACTTCTTCAACTGTCACATCAAAGTTCCATTCCTTTCCAACCAAAGGTCAGCATTTCCTACTTTTAACCACCTTCCTAACAGCCTTGGGCATCCTCCTCTGAGATTTTATTACTCTTCTCACAGGTACTTCCCAGTTGCTATTGGGCTCATTCTCTCCTGTACTTTCTTCTTTGGGAAGAAAAAATGCTTGCATGTGTTTTCTGTTCAGTTCGGTGATGACTCTTTCAAGGGTAGGGACCCTCACTTAGTATCTTCCTTCCTCTGATACCCAGAACAAGCTATAGAGCTAATCAGTGATCAATATGTGCTGATACCTCGGATATGTGGACATTCTTCCAAAGCATGCACAGATCCTACTAAAAGCAAGAGCAAATTTTCAGGTAAAATAAATCCTTTGTTAGGATAAATTACCTGTCATTGGGACAGTGACTTGGCAACGTCCAGTCGTGGTGTGGGTTAATGAGGAAACCCCAGGACAGGAATACGGAGCTTGGTGTCAGAGTGCCAACCACCAGCTGGAGAGGTTTGCGAGAGCGTGATTTACCTAGGGAGGTAACATGCAGGTTAACTCTGATAACACAGTAGATTTTTATGATTGGGGTAGAATGCACAATAATGATTTAGGAAGATGATAAAGAGCATGAAAGCATCAAGTTCCTTTTCTTCTGATGGAGTACACAAATATTATCAATGTTTTGCCCATAAATTTAAGCAGAAACCAAACAAAATGTCATTTTGAAATTTATGTGCGTATGTTTATGCATATATATGTATGTGTATATGGGTAGTATATGCATATAAATTATAAGCCATCATACCTAGATATTCTTTTTTTTTTTTTAAGATTTTATTTATTTATTTGACAGAGAGAGAGATCACAAGTAGACAGAGAGGCAGGCAGAGAGAGAGGGGGAAGCAGGCTCCCTCCTGAGCAGGAGCCTGATGGAGGGGCTCTATCCCAGGACTCTGGGATCATGACCTGAGCCAAAGGCAGAGGCTTAACCCACTGAGCCACCCAGGTGCTCCTAGGTTTTATTTTCTTATGGGTTAGGGATAGCTATGAAAGTTGTGGCTATTACCAATGAAATAAATAATGCAAATGTGTTGCTCACTTCATTTCTTTTACAGATATAATAAAAGCATGTTTGTTCTCCCCCTTTTCCCAAGACTATGAATAGTGTGAAAGGACATCAAAGATTAAAAAAGAAAGCTTAACATCTGGCTTGTGGGTTATATTCTATTTTAAAACCAGTTTAGAAGTGTAAAATCTCTTATCATACTATTATAATAAGCCACCTCCTTTTCTTGAAGTGAGTGTCTAAATGGAAAATGCATACACATTCTTTTTCATACATTCCTAATACTGTTGGAAGACTAGGGATGACATAAGAAGAACATTTGTTTAGATGGGACGAATCAGATTTGGGCAATACCAAGTGATGATAACAAACCACTTTAGATTCTTTTCTAGTATATTGCGGGGAGCAGTATTTGCATTTTCAAAAATATTTGGAACTTCAGGAATGGGATCAGTGAAAAAGAGCAATGAAGATCCTTTGCCACGGAAACCAACATTGGCTTAGAAAAAAAGTCTGTACATAACATAAAAGTGCAATAAGATATCAAATAAAACTATGCAGAACATAAAACCTTCTTTTTTTTAAATTTTTTATTTCTATTCAGTGTAGCAGTATTCATTGTTTTTGCACCACACCCAGTGCTCCATGCAATCTGTGCCCTCTCCAATACCCACCACCTGGATCCCCCAACCTCCCCCACCACCTCTTCAAAACCCTCAGATTGTTTTTCAGAGTCCATAGTCTCTCATGGTTCACCTCTCCTTCCAATTTCCCTCAACTCCCTTCTCCTTTCTAACTCCCCTTGTCCTCCATGCTATTTGTTATGCTCCACAAATCAGTGAAACCATATGATAATTGACTCTCTCTGCTTGACTTATTTCACTCAGCATAATCTCTTCCAGTCCCGTCCATGTTGCTACAAAAGTTGGGTATTTATCCTTTCTGATGGAGGCATAATACTCCATAGTGTATATGGACCACCACATCTTCCTTATCCATTCGTCCATTGAAGGGCATCTTGGTTCTTTCCACAGTTTGGCGACCGTGGCCATTGCTGCTATAAACATTGGGGTACAGATGGCCCTTCTTTTCACTACATCTGTATCATTGGGGTAAATACCCAGTAGTGCAATTGCAGGGTCATAGGGAAGCTCTATTTTTAATTTCTTGAGGAATCTCCACACTGTTCTCCAAAGTTAAAACCTTTTTATTTCCACTGGATTCTGTCTTTCATTTCATGAGACCATGCCTCTTGTATTTGCTATAATAACTTGCAAAATAACTTGTGTTATTTTGATCTAATGTGGTAGGAACTAATGGGTAGGAAGGTACCTCTTGTATGAGCTTAGCGGAAGTTACCTGAACCAAATGTCCTTTAAAATTGTGCCATCGTTGCTGCTTCTGGTAGATTTAAGTTCTTTGAGTTGTTATTCTGGTGGAAAAACCTTCTCATCCCAGAGCATATAAGCCTAGTGGTGGCCAACTGCTTCATGGTAACACAGCTGAAATTTTTTAACTAACATATAATGTATTATATGTTTCAGGGGTACAGGTCTGTGATTCATTAGTCTTACATAATTCACAGCACTCACCATAACACAACTGAATTTTTAAAAAGCTATCTAAAATAACTGTCAAGGATAGTTGTTCATTTGTTTGCAAATGTGCTTTTATCTTTTTCCATAAAATTTTCCAGCTCCACCTGCAATGCTACCTTGTATGATCATGATTCCAAGAACACAAGTCTGACTCCCCAAAAGGGTAGAATAGAACCTGGTGAGGCTAAGGGATTTATGTAGTTTGACAAAGGCCTGAAGGGATTCTGATATTCCTTTTTCCACTCCTGAGTTAGTTTTCACTAAGTAATACAACTATCTCATTTTACAAATGAAAAATAAGACCCAGAGAAGTTTCAAGGTCACACCAAGAGCAAGGTCAAGACTTAAATTTCTCTCTTCTGAACAGTAATCTAGTTTTTTTCCTTTCTTATCTTTCTGGTTTTTTTTTTACTACATCATTGACATACGATATATGAAGATTATGCCATTTAGAGACAAAATATACATTTTACTTTCTCCAAGGGAACCTAAGGCTTACATGACCATAAAACAATTATTTCACTAAATTTGGATTTTAACATAAAAGTGATTAAAATTTATGTGGCAGATGCAGATATAAATTGAATTGAAGTTAATGCATTAGTCATTGTATCATTCTCAAATGCAGATTACAAAAAAATTACATCCGTTGCCTGAGAGGAAAGGTGGGGCATTATATCCTGATCAAGATGAAACAATTTCCTGAGCTGGTCATCACAAAGGGAAAAATAATTTCAAGGCCAGTGTCCTAGAAGTTCCCAAATGAAGTTACAAAGCGTGACTAAGGTGTAATCCCTCTTTTGATGTCCCTTACACATTTCTTTATGTTTGTCTTGAGAAATAGTTTGATGAGAACATGAAGCCAGAATCCCATGGGCCCATACTAATACTTCCTGACTTTATTAAATACTTTGAAATAAAGTCTTGAAATAAAGTTTCATTATAAGTTATAAGGAGTCACTGAAATTTCCCTCCTGCTGTGGGAGAATTTGGGAGGCCAGGAAAAGGAATTTGTATTTTTCAAAATGCTTACTGAGTCCCTAAAAAGAAGTGAACACAAAGAGAAGGAGGGGAGGGGATCGTGGCAACAAATTTCTGGTAACAGGCTTGGCTAATGCCTCCAGAAGACACAATTCACAGCTGCGAAGGGCCTGTTTGCTACATGTATTTGAAGATCTGTGCGCTCCCCAACCCATTTCATCACTCTAGAAACACAGAACAAATGAAAGAGATCCCTTTTGCTTGACTTCTAGTATACTACAAAAGATAAACATGATTAGGAAATACTAAGACCAGTTCACAATAGTAAATGCCAAAGAAAAGCGAAATATTTTTATCAATAATCTATAGTCAGGGAGATGTGAGATTGGACGATAAAGGCCTAGTCCCATCTTTTTTAGGTTCTGACCACAATGGCCTACTTATTTGATCTGCGAAGAAATTTTAATAGTGAAATTGGGACAATGTAAGATTTTAATCTTTCTTTAGTCATGTAGAAAATGTTTCTACTCATTTATTCGTAGGTTATTTACTTTCCTATTTCCAGTCTCCCTCTCCCTGGGAATCTCGGCATTGTGTTGCTATTCTAGAAAAGCGGTCCTTGCTCTCATGTTGGACTAAATAGAAAAGGGTCCAAAGGTGGAAAGAGGAGAGTAAAGCAGAACCCATGTTCCAACCCATTTACCATGCACAGAAAGGAGTGATGCTTTTAAAATGTGAACAGTCTCCTTCAACGAAGGCTAGACATCAGATTTGCCCTTAAAATCTGGGAAACACCAGACAAGGCCCAAGTTGACACACTGCGAAGTAGATTCAGGCTAACAGGAGTTAACTCTAAGTGAGCACATACTATGGGGCAGGCCCTATCCTGCAAGGCCACACATGCATGAACTCATTTATCCCTCACGATAATCCTGGTGTGCAGGAGAAAGGAGGCACTGAGAAGTTCAGTAATTTGTCTAAATTTCTCAGGTTTGCATGTAGTGGTGCTGGGATAAGATCCCAAGCAGTCTCTACAACCAGATCATGGTACTTGCAAGCTGGGTTATCTGCTGACATGGGGCCTGCTGTGTTACATGTTCTAATCTACATTCCTAACTCATCCCCAAGGAATTGGTTTCCATGGGTAGAAATGACAAAACATGGTTTAAAGTTAATAAAATCTGAAAAATGAACAAAATATACCTGAGCATGACTTCTTCTGACTCGGAGGGGGAGCAGGCCGCACAACGATCAGATATTTAGGCTCCGCATCTGGAAACGATAACATTATTTATCAGTAAAATTCTCTGAGAGGGAGCAATGTTCACGACAGCAAACCCATGTCCTGACTCAATGTTCCCCAGGCCTTAATCATTGTAACCATCGCACCTGTGGATGAGAGGACCCAGGAATGTGTGAAGTTAATACTCCCTGAGACAATTCAGTCCATTAAGTTTTTGAAATGAAAATGAAATCCAGATTTTCAAAACCAAAATGGGAGTCAGGAAGAGGTCTTAAATCTTGCTAGACACAGATTTTTGTGCCACATTTTCATCAAGCCTTCCCACTGCAAAGAGATTTTTTAAAAATCTGCTCATACCCATTTTGTCATCCTACTATTCATAGAAGTCATCCTAATGCTTCAGAAGCAGGGAAGGTAAATCATACTTGCCTAAGACCCATGAGACGCAACAGGACCTCAGCTGCCTTATGATCTGAAACTGCTCACTTCCACAGTAATATGAATATTCATAATGTCCTCTTTATTTTCATCCTATTTGCATAATCTCTCAGCCTGTTATCATATTCAGCAATCACTTTTGTGAGCAATGTTTAACAAAGTCACAATTTCAGGTGATATGTTCTTCATCTACAAGATGCCAATGGAAAATAAAAGAGAATCTCTTTTAAAAATATTTGGACTGATGATTTGCAGATCTATATCCCTGAACAAATAACACATTATATGCCAATTAAAAAAATAAATAAATGTGTATTTACATGGGAAAAAAATATGTAGGCTTTAGCGCTCCTGGTTGGCTCATTCGGTTAAGTATCTGCCTTCGACTCAGGTCATGATCTCAGGGTCCTGGGATCAAGTCCCACTTCAGGCTCTCTGCTCAGTGGGGTGTCTGTTTCTCTCTCTCTCCCTCTGCCTCTCCACTCCTCTTGTGCTTTCTCTCTTGCTCACGCTCTCTCAAATAAATAAATGAAACCTTTAAAAAAATATCTAGGCTTTAGGGATGCCTCAGTGGTGTTGTTGGTTAAGCGTCAACTCCTGGTTTTGGCTCAAGTCATAATCTCAGGGTCATGGGATTAAGCCCTGCAGCTCTGCCCTCAGCATGGAGCCAGCTTGAGATTCTCTCTCCCTTGTCCTATCCCTTCCACTTGTGTGTTCTCTCTCTGTGTAAAAATAAATTAGTAAAATCTTTTTTAAAAAATTTAGGTTTTAAATAAAACGATGTTTAAACCATCAGTATGCACTAAATCAGGAGCTAATAATTTATCAAATCATCTTCTTTTTTGAATTGGTATTTCTAAGATGCTTAATTTAAATATACATAAATAAGCCAGATACAATTGGGCATACTGAATAGCATTTCATAAGCACTTCTACTGAACTGGTTTGTGACCATTATCTACAATAATTCTTCAGTAACTTTGGATCCTGAAGTTCATTCTGCATCCAATTTCATTTGGATGCTGTAGTCAACAAGAGTTCACCCCTGCTCACTCAAACAGAACTTACATCTTTGTTTTGTTTTCATTCTGGGTTTAAATGTCTTGCCTCTATGAGTCTGGAACAGAGGCCTTCTCTGCCCAAGGCTTTACGGAGCTGACCTCATCCTCAGCTGGAGACAACCTGGCAATTCGGGCCCTTTCAATGACTTGAGACTTTGTCTTTTACTGGACACCCCACACGGCCTTATTTGCTATAACCTGCTACAGTAACTATACCACATAAAGGAAACCAGGTAACCTCTCAAACCAACCTCAGAGCTTTGTCTCCTTTCTGATGATTGCCTCATGAGCACAACATGGTTAAAGGAATGTTCATTATGTTTCAGAGTCTCGTGTTTGAAGGCATAGCTTGCTTAGTGGGGCTTGGACAAGGAAGATTGAACCTAAATCAAAGGTCTCTAGTAGGAATATAATACATTCCCTGATTGTATTTGGGATCTAAAGTAATATAAGTATTAAGAATGCACCACATAGTCAGTACTTTCTTCGTGTAGGGCACTTACGAAACACTTTACATTTGTGACTAATTACTCCTCATGGCAATCCTACTTGATACACACTACTATGGCACATTTGTGGAGGAGGTCACCAAAGCAGGGTCAGCTTCATGGGCAGGTGACACGCCTTGTCACACAGGGCCCCATGTTCAGAAGCGTCCCATGCTTGGTTTAATGCCTTGCTGTCAGCGTGCTGAAATTCTTAATAGTTTTACCTTTGCATCTGAGTTTGGTAAGGGCAATGAAGAGCCAATAAAGCCTGTGTGGGAGCAGAGGAGCCAGAACAATAGATGGGCTGCAGTTTCTTTCCCACCCATAGTGGCTGAGATGCCCTCTCAGCATAGCATTCCCAGGGACCCAGGACACATGGGGGTTCAGCAAGACTCCAAGGTCAAACAGAGCAAGCATACTGCATCTCTGGCTGAGGAAGAGGGCATAGAGGGAACGTGTGAGGACACACTCACTGTTCAAGCAAACCAAAAGTCGCTTCCATGCAGAAGGCAATGGCATTGTAACCCAAACGACCAAGCAATCCTATAGCATCCCCTATTACTCCTGTTAGTTCTCCGTATTTGCCAACCACTTATGCTGAAAAGGACTATCTTGAAGAAAAAGGGAAGCTGGACCAACCCCCAGTTCCTGTGCCTTTCCCTTCTTCCTCACTCATAAGTAAGCCAAAGGCAGAGTTATAGAATGTCCACATGTCAAGAAGTGAAGGACAGAGAGTTAGTGTTTTGCATTTCCATTCTTTGGATAAGAAAGAGATACACGTGCACGTATCAATGACAAATTACAAATTGTGTGATCTGTGATTCTGCTTAGGTGTTGAAGGCCCATATTGGCCTTTAAAACTGGCCTTGCACGATGTAAAGATAAATGGCAAAATTTAGGTTAATAATTTAAAATTTTAATTTACTTAATGCCATTGGATAGCAAATAAAATAACACCATCACAAGCTGAGAACCTGTGGAAGAAAGGAAATATTTTAGGATCTTTAATGATAATTTTCTCCTGCTTTTTGAAACAAGGGCCTTGCATTTATTTTTAACTTGACTGTGCAAATCATATGCTGTCTTGAATTTACTTCTAGAAACCAAAACTAAATCTCTGTTTTTCTTAAGTTACCCTCACTGTGGCAGGATCTCTTAGCTTTTCACTTCCTTCCTTGATGCACATTAATTCAATTCTGCCTCAACAGCTTAAAAAAAAGGCCTGAAATACTAGAAAAATAGCATGCGTGGAAGCCAGAGATAGTGCCATGATCCAAGACATATGGTTATAAGAGCAATTTAAAAGTAATTTTTGTTATTATCAGTCATTTTGCATAAAGCCTAGGCTGTGACAGCCCAATACAAATTAGAACAGATGTCGGGAATGGGGGGCAGATAGGAGGCCTCTCACTACTCATTAGAAACTCCCAATATTCATGTATTTCAGCAGTCTTTGCGCTAGATTTGGAACACAAACATGGAAAAATAAAACAACTAAAAACCAAAATTTCTATTTCAGTTCTGTACTCTGAAACTCTTTGCAGATCTGTAGTAGCCTGGAAATACATACACTGTAGCTTGGTCAGCCATTCTATTCACGCGTGCCAAAACACACTAGTTCTTCATTTAGAAAATGCATATAATTAAAATGTCCATTTCAGCAAATTTGTGTAGAATACAGTTAAGCCTATACTGTGTTGCAGACTGATTACATCTAATTCTCTTAATATTTTAAATGCCCTGAGGTGAAGGATTGCGACAGGTTACTGTTTAAGGAAATCTACTACTGAAATCCTTTATAAAGTGCTAGAGTTTTTGGTAATGCAAATAATTCTCCCATAATCGCTCTGTTTGATAAATCCCAATTCTCACATTTTTATTAGAAGACCTCCACCTTGCAAGCCACACTGCTCTAGAATGAAGTCATAGCGAGCTTCATTTCTGCAGTGCAAATTTCCACAAAATAAAATTTAATAAGCCAGGATGATCCTACAGGAAATCATGTAAGGGTCTTGAACAAAAATAATAATTTACCCCTGCCATCTTTTTAACAATTTGGTTTCATATCAAACTAAATTTCTCGACACAAAGCATATACTCGAGAGGCTGGAATTACATCTTGCTTGCTAGTTGCTTATATAAGGTGAGTGCTTAACGTATGCACATCTGTTTCCTCACCTGCAAAATGGGGGGAAAAAAATCACAGTACCTAGCTGCACAAGGGTCTTAGTGATGATTAACCTGTAACAGTGCCTAACACATAGAAAGAGCTTAGTTAATGATAGCTATTATCATGACAATAAAGATGGGGATTCCTTGAAAGCAGAAATTTGTGTCTTCAGAGGCCCTGGGGACTTATAAAAAGGAAGGAAAATGTTCAAAGCCTTTTTTTTTTTTTTAAAGCAATTATCACAGGGTCCAAAATGCAAAAATTTCACAAAAATAAAATTAAACACCATATAGACAAAGATCCTCTGTCCTGACCGGACTAAGTAGCTCTTATGAGCTCTTTCAGGCTTCTTTTGTGTTCATCTCTCTGTGGTCCAACTTTATCAAGCGTTTTAGTAAAATGGTTTAGCCAGAAACCCCTATCTTCCACACCCGATCACATACCTGATCACAAGTGAGGATCCTTAACCTCCACCATCCCTTATCACCATGGCCTGCCTTCTGCAAGAATCTTGCCAGGTTAGTTTAGCCAGATTCCCCCACCCCTCATCCTCATGTTTCTTCTTAGTCATTTTCCATCCACGTATTCCCACCTGCTTCTTGGCTATAAATTCCCATTTTTCCTTGTTGTATTCAGAGTTAAGCTCAGTTTCTCTCCCACACTGCAAGATCCCATTATTGTGGTCCCTATGCCTACTGCAATAGTCCCTACCTTTAAACAAAGTCTTCCCAGCCATCTTTAACAAATGCCACTAAATAAATTTTTCCTTCATAATACTCACATCAATCCAAAAAATCCTAGAAAATTTACTGGTATGCAGAATCTGGCAGCACATAATACAATAATATATTATGGCCAAGTGTAGGTTTATT